GAACTCGCATTGAACTGAAAATGAATCATGGAAAGTGGTCAGCAGGATGAATGGGAAAACAAAAAAAAGAAACGAACAAATGGCAGCTGAAGGAGTAATATCCCCAGCACATGAACAACAGAGGGAATAGACACACGGGGAAAACACAGAATTAAATACTAAAGGAAGTAGTGAGTCTCTCTTTTCCTCTTTTTGACGACTAAATCTGCTTTTTTGGTTGTTTGCATTTTTTTCGTACAGAAAAAAAGGTTTCACAGATATTGACCCTATTGCAATTTAGCTGCTGCCAAAGCCAGGTCAGTTTAAAGTTTAGATAAGGACAAACTATTTGACAGAAGTTGTTAGCAACTGTGATTAAGCTCCAATTTTGTGAAAAATCCTGGCGTCTCTTTCCTCGGAACCAAATGTTAAAAACACTGCATCATTGTTGAAAGACAGGCATTTCAAATCCACTGTGAATGTCAGGAATTAACTGAAGGATGAACATCCTTTTGTGGCAGCTTTGTTAGGGTTTTTTTTGTATTTTTAATAGCAAAATGTAGACATGAGGATTATCCGTGAAGCGCATTTGAGGAGAGAGGGGAAGCGGAGGGGAACTGAGCTTGTTTTCACATTTAATTTAAGACGATTACATTTTTTTCTGATCTTCTCTGTGAAAAAAACTTTTATGCTCATCCCTCTTACAAACAGAAAACATGTAACAAGACCAAATCCTACAAAAGGCTGATTTTTTTTCCCCGTAGGCTCTTTAGGTGCTGTATCACCAGCTCTATTTAAGCTTGACTTGGCTACCTTTGCCATCAGAGGAAGGACTGTTTTTGGCGTGGGTGGGAGCTGGACCAGGCTGTGAGCCCTTTGCTGGGACAGGAGGTACCTCTTCCAGCTCAGCTCAAGGTGCAGCCTGCCAGCCTGATCCTCTCCCTGGCTGCACAGCCCCGTTCTAACCCATGGCTTGGTTTTGGTGGCAATTACAATTTATTTGGTTCATTTTCTGCTCATTTAATGAGCAACCAGCTCACCTATGGAGCAAAGAAGCACCACGGGAGGAGGAGAGGAACATGGAGAAGGGGTGGCAGGCGGTGGGAGCAGCACAGGTCCTGCCCATCAGCAGGACAAACCTCAGCTTGTGCTCCATGTTACTTCACTTCAAAGGTTTGCAAAAGTCAAGTTACAATGAGGGCTTTTCTCCTTTAAATGGAAACCCACCTACTGCATGTGAATTAAATGAATAAGCAAATACTCCGAGTTTAACTGATTTGTATGAAAGTCACTTTTTTGGGCTTCACTTCCTCAGTATTTGTTGTTGCTCACTAAGCAACCAGACTCTCAACATCACAACAGCCACGTATGAAAAGAACAAAGAATCCCCAGCACATGAACAACAGAGGGAATAGACACACGGGGAAAACACAGAATTAAATACTAAAGGAAGTAGTGAGTCTCTCTTTTCCTCTTTTTGACGACTAAATCTGCTTTTTTGGTTGTTTGCATTTTTTTCGTACAGAAAAAAAGGTTTCACAGATATTGACCCTATTGCAATTTAGCTGCTGCCAAAGCCAGGTCAGTTTAAAGTTTAGATAAGGACAAACTATTTGACAGAAGTTGTTAGCAACTGTGATTAAGCTCCAATTTTGTGAAAAATCCTGGCGTCTCTTTCCTCGGAACCAAATGTTAAAAACACTGCATCATTGTTGAAAGACAGGCATTTCAAATCCACTGTGAATGTCAGGAATTAACTGAAGGATGAACATCCTTTTGTGGCAGCTTTGTTAGGGTTTTTTTTGTATTTTTAATAGCAAAATGTAGACATGAGGATTATCCGTGAAGCGCATTTGAGGAGAGAGGGGAAGCGGAGGGGAACTGAGCTTGTTTTCACATTTAATTTAAGACGATTACATTTTTTTCTGATCTTCTCTGTGAAAAAAACTTTTATGCTCATCCCTCTTACAAACAGAAAACATGTAACAAGACCAAATCCTACAAAAGGCTGATTTTTTTTCCCCGTAGGCTCTTTAGGTGCTGTATCACCAGCTCTATTTAAGCTTGACTTGGCTACCTTTGCCATCAGAGGAAGGACTGTTTTTGGCGTGGGTGGGAGCTGGACCAGGCTGTGAGCCCTTTGCTGGGACAGGAGGTACCTCTTCCAGCTCAGCTCAAGGTGCAGCCTGCCAGCCTGATCCTCTCCCTGGCTGCACAGCCCCGTTCTAACCCATGGCTTGGTTTTGGTGGCAATTACAATTTATTTGGTTCATTTTCTGCTCATTTAATGAGCAACCAGCTCACCTATGGAGCAAAGAAGCACCACGGGAGGAGGAGAGGAACATGGAGAAGGGGTGGCAGGCGGTGGGAGCAGCACAGGTCCTGCCCATCAGCAGGACAAACCTCAGCTTGTGCTCCATGTTACTTCACTTCAAAGGTTTGCAAAAGTCAAGTTACAATGAGGGCTTTTCTCCTTTAAATGGAAACCCACCTACTGCATGTGAATTAAATGAATAAGCAAATACTCCGAGTTTAACTGATTTGTATGAAAGTCACTTTTTTGGGCTTCACTTCCTCAGTATTTGTTGTTGCTCACTAAGCAACCAGACTCTCAACATCACAACAGCCACGTATGAAAAGAACAAAGAAAAAAACCCAAAAAACCAAAGCATCCAAATTCCTGTGTAACAGAAAGATAAAACCAAACAGAAATCAAATCAGCAGCAGAGACCCACACAGCTTTTCTTTTTTAATTAACCTGTGTGACAGCTATCCTTATGCAGCAGCAGTTCTACCTAAGAACATGTGAAAATAATTACTGTTCCTTTAACTCGAATTTTCTTACATTTACAATGAATGTATTTTCCCATATCAGAAACAGCCTCCGAAGTCTGACGCAGGAGAATTTAACCCCATCTGTTAAGTGTTAGCAGTAATTGCCAGCTATGCAGTTTATTACCCTCAGAAATCCTTACATAACAAGTCCTACACTTAAAAATAAATCTCTCCAAATGAGTTTATGAGCTTATGGACTCATTCTGTCATAAACCTCCATGTATACGTTACGCTGACTCTTTTATAACTTTAAAAAGATAGGTATTACTTCCTGTATTTAAATATTACCTGGGGACCAGGAATGAAGCCAAAAAAAGGTGCCAGTGGAAAACAATAACAATAGTAATAAAAATCGTCAACGCTGTGTTTCTTAAGGGGGTCCTGAATGTTTTTCAACATTGAAGGGTCTATGATATTCCTTCAGTGACACCCCCAGCTCCTACCGTGTAAAGGATGCACACATTTCAGATGGGTGGCTGCTGCCTCTCAGTGGATTATCCAAATGGCTCAGCAGCAATTCACCAGGAACTCGTTGGGAGTGACCAGTTTAAGTTTAATGGCATCACCAAATGCAACAGTTCCATTTATGTTAAAAGCAGCCCCGTGAAGAGGGCAGGAGGCAGCCTGAGAGCCTGGGCTTGTAGCCTCTGGGGCTTCCAGCCTCTGTAAGCTGCAGGTCTACACCAGAGGGACAGGAGGATACGGCCCCCTGACCCTGCTGAAACAACTGAAAGCATTAAAATACATTAAAACCACTGGCCAAACCTCCACTGGTTTCAGGGAACCTTAAACCAACTACTTTACTGGTGTGTATTTTCCTTTACTTCATCGTTTCCCCCACTGAGACGGGGGGCTGAGCACCTTTTCTTCACACAGCCATTTGGCACCAGCATCTACACACTTACATGGGTGTTACACCCCTCCCTCTTGTATCTTCTGAAAGAACTTCCCTTTTGAATCTTCCTGGACAGCACTGGCAACATCAGCAATGAGTTAGGTGGGACTTAACTGCCATGAGACGCTGAGGTGGAATCAATTCCATGAAAAAAGGACTACCCATCTCACCACTGTGAGGAGCCTCTACACCTTTTTTTAAAACCCGAGTGCCCGTGCTTTCTCTTAATACAATCCGAGCAATGGTCATGCTTATTTTGTGGTCAGTGAGATTTAACACTCCAGTAATTCCCCAGTTTAAGTTTAATGGCATCACCAAATGCAACAGTTCCATTTATGTTAAAAGCAGCCCCGTGAAGAGGGCAGGAGGCAGCCTGAGAGCCTGGGCTTGTAGCCTCTGGGGCTTCCAGCCTCTGTAAGCTGCAGGTCTACACCAGAGGGACAGGAGGATACGGCCCCCTGACCCTGCTGAAACAACTGAAAGCATTAAAATACATTAAAACCACTGGCCAAACCTCCACTGGTTTCAGAACATGCAGGGTTTGACCCCAAGCATCCGGCAGCCCAGATGCTGAACAGTGCAGAGCATGGCAGGGAACCTTAAACCAACTACTTTACTGGTGTGTATTTTCCTTTACTTCATCGTTTCCCCCACTGATATGGGGGGCTGAGCACCTTTTCTTCACACAGCCATTTGGCACCAGCATCTACACACTTACATGGGTGTTACACCCCTCCCTCTTGTATCTTCTGAAAGAACTTCCCTTTTGAATCTTCCTGGACAGCACTGGCAACATCAGCAATGAGTTAGGTGGGACTTAACTGCCATGAGACGCTGAGGTGGAATCAATTCCATGAAAAAAGGACTACCCATCTCACCACTGTGAGGAGCCTCTACACCTTTTTTTAAAACCCGAGTGCCCGTGCTTTCTCTTAATACAATCCGAGCAATGGTCATGCTTATTTTGTGGTCAGTGAGATTTAACACTCCAGTAATTCCTTTAACAAAAAGGCCTTCGTCTAGAAAGGGGTGGTGACATTTCAAATGGAAGACCTGTCCCAAGGTAATTCTATTTGCTCTGGAAAGCTCAAGCATACTGTAGGTATCAAGTGCTTTAATCCTGAAAGCTAATTTAAAAAACAAACAAACATACATACATTAGACAATTGTCTTCACCCCTTTGAATGCAAAACAAATAATCAGAAGTGACATCCTCAGTTTTCTGTTTTATCATGCTTAGATAAATATGCACGAGTGGGTGCAAAGTAAATCAAAGTAGCTCTTCACTCACCTCCTCTGATTTATTTCTGCTTCGTTGGTGGCGTTCTTCCCCGGCCCCCAACTGTGTCGACGGAAAGGTGACAGTGGCCGCATGGAGTTTCGTAAGACGGAGGAATGAGTGGGCACATCCGTGATACTGTCCAGCTCTTCCTCCTTCTCTCCTCCCTCCGTGGCCACCATGTTGGTGCAGCTGCCATCCAGGCTGTGCCTGTCCTTGGGCTGGACGAAGTTCACCATCGGTGGGAAGGGAAGGGACGTGTCGCTGCCCAGGGATGAGTTCCTCTCCAGGGACATGGTGTCATCCGCAGAGGAACTGGAGCTGGCGACATCGCATGCAGCCTGCTCCTCTTCCGGCTGCTGCAGATAAGAAAAATAAAAAAATACATTAAAGTAGAATCATAGACCGGTTTGGGTTGGAAGAGACCTTTAAAGATCATGTAGTCTAACCTCCCTGCCATGGGCAGAGACATTGTTCACTAGATCGCATTGCTCAAAACCCCATCTAACCTGGCCTTGAACACTTCCAATGAAGTGAATCCATTTAACATTTTAAATAAATGCAGATATTTTATATTTCACACGAGCTGAGAGATTTCCTAGATGATAGCATGAGGCAAATTAACCATCACAGAAGTGAGACTTTTTTGCCCTGGTTTCAAAAGAGGTGGAAATGCTCTACAGAGCAATCTCTTCCACCCCACAAGTCCCTGGTTGCCAAAAACCTGGGCTCCCAGCTCGGGTCCGCTGCCTGCCTTCCTCTCTCCAATCCCACATTTCATCCTGCACAGCAAATCCCGCTCCTCTCCCCAATTCTGGCTGAACTTATTGTCAGTCAAGGGGCCATAAAACTGCCAAAGGTGTACAGAGAGTGATTAACGGGGAGTTGGGTCATCATGACTCTCGATGACAACCTCCATCCTCTCCTGTGGGACCTGGGATGGGTTTGTAACTCTCAGCCATGAGAGCTCAAGGGCAACATACTGTTCCACTGCATCATGCAGCACAAAAGGGACAATTATTCAGTAGTAGAAAACAGGAGAAAAAAAAAAAAACTTAAATCCCTGTCCCCCACCACTTTCCATTAAGCAGAAAGTTAATGCCAGGGTTTGCAGCATTTTCCAAATCCAACTGTAATTGAAAAATAGTGTTCCGCAGGATCAGCCACCCTGTATTACAGGTCTCGAGTCACACTGCAATTTTTTGGTTTAGTTTGCTCCAAAAGCAGTAAGTGGAAGCCAAACTGGTTGCCTTTGGCCAAAGGCCACGTGCTGACCATACAGCCCGAGAAGAGCCTGTGTGCGTTCTGTGTTCCCCCTGGCCAGCATCAAAAAGGCACAAGCATCCCTCTGACATCACCTGAACTGGCTGAAATGGTGTTTGCCCCGAGAGACTGACGTGGGAAGTTTCCGTTTATTCTCCTGCAGAGCCCTGTGCTGTATCATTTAAAATAATAATAGGCAGAATGATCTGTCAGCTCATATATAATAGACTGTTCAGCAAAGCCGCAGCGGTTAATTGTCTTCAAATAGCAGGCTCGGTGGGGCTCAGCAGAAGCCGAGGGCTCGAGGAGCTGCAGGCTGCCAGCTCCCAGTTGGCAGAAGACAAGGGGCTACAAAATCCCCTTGTCAGAAGGGAGAGATGGGCATCAGAACCCAGGCAGGGCAGGATGAACTGGAGTGGTGCTGCCCCACGGCATCCTCACCTCCAACCCTACCACCCTGACTTCACTCAAGCCCAACAAGTGTTAAACGCTTCAGACACCTTTCCTTTTCTGTGCTTTTCTTGATGGGCACACATTATAAGCTAAAAGCTTCTTGTTAAACTGAATAAAGAGAAACTGAGATGTTCGAAAAGCATTCTTATCAAATATTTCACTATTTAAAGGGAAGCCCTGTTTCAGGCTGCTTTTTATTCTCATTTTGGTTTAACAGGTACACAATAATGTTCCTAAGGTGGTTTAAATAAAAGCTGTCACACTCTTTTCCCTCTCCCATCCATCAAAGAAAAAAAATCCCCAGCATCCACAGTACACCACCAAAGGACAATATACCTTTCAAACACAAAATACTAAAAAGCACATTAAAATATATCCCTCCAAAAGCATTCATTTTATGTTAAGGAATGTCAAATATTAACGGTGAGTTTGTGTAAATACTTTAATAGTAAACTAATACTGTAAATGTAAAGTACTGGATTTGACACAAATAGGAAGTGTAGGTTAAAACAAGAGCAAACTGAAATGGATGCTCTGTGAAGTTTCTGATGACACTTGCCATTATTCAAAATAATCTGGTATTTGTGTGAGTCACGATGAGAGCTTACTGAATTGCTTAAATCCAGACAAATTAAGTAGTCATTACGTGGATATTACTCCTTTAATAGAGGAAACAGTCTGCCTCGCTTTTCTGAGACACAGGGAAATAGCGTTAGACATCGGGGCTGCTGCAGAGAGGACTCCCCAGCCAGCTGTACGTTGGAAGGATGGCACAGTTTGGAAACATTAAATTTGGATGCAAATCTAGCAATAACAGTGCAGAACACCAAATTATATAGGGAGAAATTTGAGTAAAAAGAGGAATTTTTGTTTCCCGGATGAGAATACTGCTGTAGCTTAAAATGCAGAACAAAAACGCTTCCCAAGCAGGGAAGATTTAGGGTTTCTATCCTGAAAAGGAGTTCCAAAGAGAAATTAGAAAAATTTGAAATATATTTCCTCCATTTTAACTTTTACCTTGAGCATCAGACTGACTACAGAACACAACAAACAATTCCCTTGAACTTGTGGCCCATGTTTATTCCTCTAAAAATATTCTGTCTTCCTTTAAATAATCTATATTTTTTTTTTCAAACAAAGCGAAACAGTTAATAGGAAAGAACAGGACTCAGTCTGCAAAATGCTGAGTGTGGCTGACACATCCAAGACACACCTATATTGTAGCCACCTCTACGAAAAATTAGCTATGTGGCCAAGTGCCAGTAAATACGCGTTGCTCTTTAATCTTATTTGAGTAAGAAAATACCCTGTTTGCAGAACAGAAATGGTGCTCTAATGTGTTCTTTTCCTACGGGAAAAATGAAACATTAAAGAAATATTAATTTTCTTCAAGTTAGGTTTGCTACATTACACCTCAATTAATTCAAGCCTTAACTGTGACCATAAAACTCCTGGCTGAAAGAGCCTTTACGGATGTGCACTAATGGGCGTTTTGTTTGCTCTCAGAAACAATAGTTGGTGAGAAGCTAGTAAGAAAAAATGAAATAAGGCATAAAAAGTGAATTTTCTGAGAAAGACCGTATGTACTACTTCATGAATAGGGATAAGAGAAATCACTAGCATAGTGGGGGTATAAGATAACTTCATCAATTAAATCCCTCCCTCCGTAGGAGGTCTTGATAAGCGGAATTAAAATGTTCTTTCAATCATTTTTGCGAAAACAACAAGCCAAGTGCTGTGACACAAACATTCCCTGTCCCCTAATCTTCCATGTGACAAAAAACATTAAAGGTGGCACAGTATTTTTTTAAAAGAATAAAAAAAAAATTAAACCCTGGCATCCTGAAGTTTATTTGGCACATCTTTAAACTAAAGGAGTCAACAACTTTAGTTGGCTTGATATCTAATTCAGCAGCATCATTTTTTATGTGGATTTGTCTATGACTCCAGGCTGCCTAAAATTAATCTCAGTGGCCTCCTATTAAAAATTTATCATCATTTTATGATTTGGAGTGGAGGAGTCTCCCCTTGGTGTAAACCTCTCTTCAAACTTCTATTCCTTCAGGTTTGTTTTTTTTTTTGCACGGTTGTTGGGATTTTTGTGTTTTGTTTGTTTTTTTAATAAAGAGAAACAATAACTCTGAAGAAATAAATGCAAAATATTTGTCTATTTCCTTCAGCAAATGAAAACAAAGGCAGAAACTAAACAGAAATCAAGGGGCTGAGCTGCAGCCCCTTCCTTTGACAATGATCTGTGGGTTCCTGACCTCCCGAGGGCCCTTCGTCTGAATCATTTCCCAAGAGGCGCATTAAAAAACTTCCCAGTAACGTTGGATTTCGGTGGCAGGTTAAAAGTTAAAGATGAGCAAAGCGTATGGGCTACGCCCTGGGAGGCTGCCAGCTGATTGTGAGAAATGACCTTATGCAGCATTAATCACTGGAGCAGGAGGGTGTTGCAAAGCCTGCCCAGATGGCTGGCTGAGACGGAGAAGGAAAAGCAGGATGATGACGAGGACATGGGAATGAAGCGCTGACGCAAAAAAAAGTAAAAAAAAAAAAGAAACATTGTGCTGAAGTCTAAGACCTCACATTGGAAGTGATTTCTGGATTTCAGTGACAGCCTCTGAAGTCTGAAAAAACAAGTCAGGTTTCAGCGCTAAAGCTCTCTGAACCCAGCAGCTCACGTTATGCAGCTCAGCACATGTCCTTCAGAGCAAAAAAAAAAAAACCCAGGAGATGGCAAGGAGATGATGCACTGAGCCCCAGGGATGGCTTAAGGGGTTACCTTCAAATTTTGTGACCCCCCACACTGCAGTTCTTCACGGTCCTGGGACAGAATCAGGGCTTAAACTCTATGAATTTCAAGTGACGTCTACGGAAGCAGCCCAAAGCCCCTGCACAGACAATGGCTTGCCCTTCCTAAATTTCTTTTAATGCGTTAAGCAGTTAAGAGGAGTGATTTATACAATAAAAAACAACTCTAACAGACCAAAGTTCAACTCTTGCTCTGTACAAAGGGGAAACAAGAACAGGACTAGTAATAACAATAATCACCGTAACACTGAAAGAGTTCGAGATCCTCTTTTTGTTCATAAACAAATTCTCTCTCTTCCCAATTTGACATGGAAATTGTACTATTTCAAAGTCTTACAACTAACCAGCTACAACCAAGACATGTATTTTATAATATTTTTTCAGATGAAAGATTACATCCAGCACTTATTTTCATGGTTATTAAAAAAAAAAATATAACTTGCATTTCTACCAGCTGGGCTCAGTAGTCTTAAAAAAAATAATATTGAATTACGGAACAAGCTCACACGACTAAACTAGTGTTTCTGGTCCTTCTAGAAGTAACTTTAACTGTAGAAAAGGTACGCAGAAAAATTCTGAGAAAGGTGACAAGGAATTGAGTTAGTCAGCAAAGCAGAGACAAAAAAAAGTGACTAAGGTTGAGATTAGCTTTGAATAACTTCCTAAACTCAACTCAGGAACCTTTTGAACCCATTTGTAGACAAAGTCTGCAATCCACTGCATAATGAGAACAATGCAAAGGCTGCCAAATTAAGAAATTCCCTTTCTACAAAGAAATAATTTCCTCCCTCTGCCCAGTCTCCACCGGCAATTAAAGATCTGCTTTCCCCATCACCTCCTCATTTTCCCTGCAGCATCCCTGCCACATTGCACTACCTACTCTTTTAAAATTTCAATTTTGCTTCCTCGGATTTGGAGAAGGAAACTTTCCACATAAGAAAGGGAAAAAGCTAAAATTCTCTACAATATAAAATTTACTGTGTTCCCACAGCACTCTTGTCTCACGCATCCCCATACAAGCATTAAATCAGGCTCAAATGGCAGTCGGCTGTCGTAATTCGTGCCACTCTACCCGAGAAAATTGAAGACAGTCTTCTGCTCTGCCAAACAGCCTTCTATTCTCACAATCCAGGGTTCCGCATCACTTTGAGAGTGAGATGGGAAAGGGTGAGGCTGGTGAGCTCTGTGCCCTACCACATGCATTAAGGATGACTTTACTGTTCATTTATAGCACATGAGATCACTTAAGCCTGGGCTGTGGTGTTTCCCGTCCCGCTGGAAAATATTCACCATCATCTGATTTGATTTAAGCAAACAGAATTTTCTTTCATTAAATGCATTTCTCTGAAAGCAAGTGTGAAACCTACTCTTAAAAGTTCAGTTTTTCAGAGCAGGAACCGTGCCTGCTGAAAGAGGTAAGCTGGAGCTGAACCTGAGCGTCTGATCTCACGGAGCTGAGACCAACGTGATGGCTGCTCTAAAGAAGGTCCTCTTTGATTCCACATCACTCCGTTCTTTCTGGGTGCTTTGTCATCATCTACTTACGGCAGGAAGAATATAAATTAGCAGCAAAATGACTCTTAAAAAGGAAAACCTGATCACCCTCTGAACAAATTCAGGCTGCTCTGATGCAGACAGCAAAAGAGCGATGCTAAAGGGAGGCATCCTCTGTATCTCAGGTCTCACCTACTCCTCCTTCCACTTCTCAGCCGTGAGCAAAACAAAGGGCACAGGGATGACTAAGGTTACTAATGACTCGTGTTGTTGACTTTAAGCAAACCTGAAAACATTTTCCTTCTACTTGCACGCAAAAAGGCATAAGAGTTATGTCGCCTAGGCAACAAAACTATTCATTGGAATTGGCCTTAAGTATTTAGAGTGTTTCCTTCCTATCCAGGGAGTCACAGTGAATTTACAGAAAAACACCGGTTCCTCTGAAAACTACAGTATATGACTCTGAAGGGGCCAGTGCACAGGTCATCGTTTTCTGGAGAAAAGCTCTTTTTTACATCAGTCAGAGATGCCTTTCCTACCATCTGTGCAATCCCTAATGACCTTGCAAGAAAATCCACCTTTTCAACTGTTCCTCTAGCACCTGATTTTCTTCTGGACAGTCAAGATTGCTTTCATCTTTTCAAGAGAGGGGGCTGCACAGTTTTTGGAAGTAAATACATCCCTCATGTTGCTGCATCTGAAGAGAGGACCAGATCCTTCCCATCTATTCCGTTCCAGGATAATCGCTTCCAGGTTTCTAACTCACCAGTGAAAACAGGACGATCTGCATTTGCAGTACGGGTTTATCCAATTGGGACTTGGAGCTTTTTTTAACCATATCCCCACCAGGCTTTCCTACCTTTCCAAAGACGAGGTCTTCCATCCCATCAGCAGCCAAGGGGAAGAGGTCAGACTCGCTTCCAGACTCTCTTTTAAGGCCACCCTGTGAGGAGGCACAGACGCTGTTCAGCCCATCCTCCAAGAAGTTCTCGCATTCTACGGGAGCAAAGCAGAAAGGGTTACGGTCTGATGTTTTTCTGCAGCATCCATACATCCAACTCGCATACCCTCATCAAATTTGAGGAGTTAAAAACAATAGGAAAAACAGCTTTATAAATTGTGTTCACCTCCCAAAACCATGCCTGCAAATTTTCAAAGAATTTACTCAAGAGTTTAAAACTCCTTTTAATGCAGTATCGAAATACATGGTGCAAAGAGACATTCTGCATTAAACAGCCATATATGCTTGTAGCCTGAGGTGCTGATAAATACATTATGTACCAGGTACCCCACACTAAGCATAACGGGATGTTTGCCATCGATTGCAGCAACTGCAAAATTAGACTTGTATTCAATAAATGTAGAAATATCACTTAACAATATTTGCTCTCTTTCTTAATTAAAGAATCAATTCCCTCTAAATGCCAGGGTGCTTTTAATACATATTGGGACAATGATTTCATTCCTTTTTCTATACTTCTCACTGAAAAAGCACTAGTATGGCTTCCAGGACAAGCTTTACTTTTTTAAGACTCAAATATTAAGTGTGCTTTAAAAATTCTCAGCTTTCACAAGGGCTGACATTGAAATACAAGCACATTGCATCTCTTTTTCCTAAAATGCTTCCAGCTGTTTGTATCGGGGTGATCAGCAGCAGAGACAGAGACTACAGCCACTGAGAAAGCCCTTCCCTTCCAAAAACCTTAACAGACATGCATTTGCATCAAAAAATGCCTGTATATCGTTCCGTTCGTTCAGCCTTCAGGCAAAGGTATTAATGACAATTTTGGCAATCACTGAACATTCTTTTCTCCCAGCTCAAAATATTTTCTGATTATTAGTTTGGTTTGGTTTTGTTGTTGTTTTTTTTAAAAAAAGAAAGGTGTTATTTTGCAACCTGCTCTAGCTAAACAGATCCAGAACTTTTTGTTCTTTTTTTAAAAAAAAAAGAAAGGTGTTATTTTGCAACCTGCTCTAGCTAAACAGATCCAGAACATGTTTAGCTCCCTGGAGAGGAGCCAAGGGACTAAAATATTGTTTTGCTCTTAAATTACACCCGACAAACTCCATCGTTGGCTGTGTCAACCTTACACATCAATGCAAAGACGATGGGTTCGGGTAGCTTGAAACCACCTTTATCCCTTCCCCATCCTTAACCTGTGCCTGACAGCAGCAATCAAACACCCCAGCCACAGCCCAGCTGAAGGGAATGAGCCACACTCAGAGGAAATAATGTTAATTTCTTGAAGGCAGTGGGGCTGCCCCCGTTTCAGGCACGGGGGGAGCCGAAACCGGTTGGAAACCCCATTACCCTGCAGAGGAGTTTCCACACGGCGGAGAATTGGAAAAGCACTTATTGGAGGCGGTGTGGCTGCTCCCTGCTCCTGCTCCCCTTTCGGTAAACCTGGAAAATCTGACCTGCTTTTCCATCACCGAAGGGGGAAAAAGGAGGGGGAAGAGGAGAAGAGAGGCTGGGGGGGGAGGAAAGAAAAGGGAAAAGCACAGAAGAGGCGGAGAGGCTGTAAGGGAGCGGGCCAGGGAGCAGGCCGTCCAGCTGGCAGCCGGCAGAGCGTGTCCGCAGCCCAGACTGAAAAACAAAGGGGCTCCAGCCACGTTCCAGTGGAAAATCAGCAGGGACGGGCCATAGGCGCCAAGGGACTGATACCTCACCCCAGCGATAAATCACAAGAGGCAGCGAAAGGCTCTGCAGGAGCCCCAGAGGGACGGAGGAGATGAAGCAGTGAGAAGGGACCATGAGGAGCAGAGTTCTGGGAGCACTCCCCTACACCCCAAACTCTCTTTTCCCTCCCCTCTCCTTTATTTTCAGTTGTATGGGGGGGATCTTCCCCCCTTCCTTTTCTCAGTTAGCTCACTGGGTTTGTTTTCTTTGCTTTAAACTGCACAGGCATTGCACAACGCTGAGCTGCGTCTCCCCCAGCCGTGACCCGGAGAGAGCTCTGCCCTGACGAGGGGATGGGGACCCCCATCACACATCCATCCCCTGCTCCCTGCAGGCTGGATTCACAGCACAACTCCCCTTATCTCCTCCTCTGTGGGGAGGTGCAGGCAAAAAAAACCACAATGATGATGGTACCACACTTCTGCACGTAACACAGAGGCCAAGAAAGAATGTATATATTAAGAAGCTCCAGGAAGAAAATTTCCAAGCGATTCTTTTCTGTATATTTTCCAAAGCCTTGTGTCCTCCAAGACTGGGCTGAGCCCCCCCAGTTCCATGCTCATAGCTACGCTCAAAGCTCCTCCAGGCTTTTCATTTCAAAAGCAGCAGTTTCTGGAGTTACCTTCTAAGATTTGAGGACTCCATCCTTACAAGCCATTTCAGCAGATTATTCAGCACGTGAAAAAGGTATAATTCCCTAACAAGTTGTGTCTTTTGAAGTAAGCCACGTTACCACAGCTGGTGGTTTTATTGCTGTTAGGTGGTGGTGGATTTTTCTTGCCCTCCCTACACTGCACAGCACCAGCAGCGCAGCCGGAGGGATGTGTGTGCAATAACGACCTTATTTCTACAAAAGCCAGAACCTGCAGAGCCTGAGATCTTCCTCCTGCTTCAGTCCGACCACAGAGCATATTAATCAACTTAAAAACCTGCCTCTTTGTGCTTGCGTTACAGACACATATTGCTATAATTATTAATATATATTTGTATATACAGCTACCTCATTACATACTTAATATCATATTTCTATAGTATGATGTTGTGTTAGATAATTAACAAATCTCTAACTGATATTGATCCATATGAATACATGATTATAGATTTGGCATGTCAAACAGCGCACATCATTTTGCAGCCAAACGGAGCACAATAACTCTTGCCTGAAGCGTAAAAATATACCAAGAGCCAAGGGATTTGGGGGCACAATTGGGAAAGCAGCAACATGGTGATACCACGGGTGCTCCTCTAAAACACTCTCAAAACAGCCATTCACTGTTCATCACTATTCTAAACAGAGCACTTTTAAAAAAAAAAATTAAAATAAAAAAGGGGCTTATTTACCTTTGATGGGAGCTAGAACTTCTACCTAGAATAGAGCCCTCATGTCAGTCACCCACATTATCCCTTCTTAGCCTACACTCTGAAAAGATTGGGTTTGGATTTCACATCAACACTCAGTGATTCAATCCCTGTTTTTCTTTCAAGTCTCTCAGAGAAATTGAAGGAGATTCAGGTGAGACCCCTGCTCGTAATAAGAGCAAGGCAAGAAGTGTCCTCCCTATGATCACTCCAAGCAAAGTCAGTTTTCAGGGCCCTGATAAATTACTCCCATTTGTTTTGAACATGAATAATTCAATGAAAGGAAATGCTTTTTTTTTTTCTTATCTTGGACACCAACCCCTCTTTGAAACTTGCCCGGACAAGATTTTTTCTGTCCCAGTGGAAGAGCCAGAAAGCACCAGCCAGCACGCAGGGCTGGGAGCTCGGCATGGCTGGTGGGCAGGGTGTGGGAACGATGGCTCTGAACCACCTTCCTGCTTCCCCAAGCCTGGAAATCATGGGAACTTTCAGGGAAATAAAAATAAAATCAAGCCACTGATTTGGATCTAAATATGGATTCAAGAGTTTAAATTTCTGATTGTACTGTCATTATGGCTAGAAACCCTGTCCGTGTCGTCCGTCACATCTTTCAAGTTTATTTATTAAAAAAAAAAAAATCGAAATACCAAAGTACTTTAAATGTGAAATGACTGAAGAAGGTGACGCACCACACAGCTCACTGCAAGTCAAGTGCTGCAGCCATGTGCTAACCATGACTCACGGCAGATTGATTACACATTTTCTTTAGTTTACCTATTTTGCCCGTCGAGGCTAAGATGTCAAAAAATCAGAAGAAAAAGAAGGAAAGAAAAGGTGAGGAGAGCTGCGGGGCTGCTTGTCTGGAGCTGCCACCAGCACGTTGCTTACCTGGAGACTCCCGCGTCCGCTTGCGCTCCAGCAGGGAAGAATCAGGACACGGCTTCAGTGAACACCAGCTTTCGCGGTTTATCTGGAAAACAGACCAGAGCAAATCAAAGAAAGGCCACTTTTGGTAACATCCCTGTTAAGCCTCTTCTGCAATGTCACTGCAACGCCCAGCAGATATAGGGTTATGGCTTCATTTTGTCTCAATAATAAAAACCTCTAAAGTAACTTATGACTACTTTTTTTTTTTTTTTTTTTTTTAGCATCACTAAACAAACCATTAAAATACGCCGAAAGATTTATTTCTCTGTGGAAAGTATGATTTCAGGGTGGCTCCCGCTGAAGGCAGGAGTTCAGAGGGAGAATGAGCCAGCATTTAAGCTCCTACTTGAGGACTGAAGAAACCTGGCTCCAATTCTGCCTTCCATTTGTAGCGGGACTGCAGGCAAGAGTCACCTCTGCTTTACACCTCGGTTCATTACCCACAGAACAGCAATTCCTTACCACCCATAGCGCTGTAAAGATAATTACCATAAAAAATAGTAAAGCACTCTGATAATGTGGAAATGAGGGCTAATGTGGAAATGAAGTGCCCAGGTCATGGTGAGAAGCACTTTAACTGAAACGATGAATGTGTTAGAAACCCCCATTTTAACACTAAGACACATCACATGGTTTATTTCAACATGAGCCCTTATCACATCTCACCCTGTCCCTCACCCCTTCCGTGACTTCCAGACTCTCGGCAAGGATGACTGATCTGCTCTCAGCCTCCTCCCACATCTGCCTCCACTTTACTCTTCCTCACTTGGGCTGTGTTGTCCAACATTCTGACTCTGAAGTCTGCTGGACTGTCCACAACCCTTGGCTCATCCAACATATGCTTCCCATCACTTTCGTCTACAGCCGGCAGCCTCTGGAAGCCTCTTTGCTCTCTCCCCTTCAGCAGTTCTGCTGTTCCTCCTTGCCAAACACCTCTATTTTTCAAACACCAGCAAATCTCACCTGGACAATCCCATGTCCCACATCACAAAATCCAGAGGTTGTTTCCCCTCCAGACTTACCTCAACACACAGGATCTCACGTGTTATATCATAGCTAAAAGCAAGCTACTGAAATGGATGACTTTGTCTGATTTTACATGCCAACTGTGTCTCCTACCCTCTCTCTCCTGAAATAATTTTCTTTCCCTTCTGTGAAATAGAGAATTTTTACTACTTACTTTTTGCCTCTGACCTGTCTTCAAATCCCCTCCATGATCCTACTCCATTTTTGCAGTCCCCTGCCGGATTCTCATCCCCTCAATGTTCTCCTTTCTCCCATGTTATGAAATGCACTGTTTTTTTCCCCATATATTTTTTTTTTAATACGGAAGAACCAAGACACTCCTATCCTTGACCTGACTTGCTGCTTTGACAAATGACCTACGTCCACCTTCTCTTACTCGCTGAGGTCATGGAACTTGTTATTTGCAGTCGTTGGCTGGTGCTTTCCCCGGTCTGGCTGCATCCCCCTGCCCTTCACCAGAAGGGCTCCTGCCAGCATCTCTGCTCACCTCCCCCTTCCCACACCGCAGAGTCAACGCTCCACTCCCCCAGACCTGTCAGCTACTTTCTAAGCACATTTTTCTTTCTTCGGTTTTGTCCTCCTCCGTACTTCTGTGGTGACAAAATGGGGTTGGAAGGGCCTTTGACAGGTCAGCTAGTCCCTTTCTGCTGCTCCAAGTCACGCTCAACTACAGTCTGAGAGGTCTTAATCCAAGGTACCCATAAAATCCTCCAGCAGCAAGGATGCCATGACCTTCCCCAGTCAGCAGCTTTTGCTGGAGGAGATACGGAATGAACAGAGAAGATCTGAGAAGGGAAAAATGAGCAGGATCTCCCAGGAGAGGTGAAGGAGACCTTGTGCTCTACTTGAGTGAGGTCTCAGGGTGACCTCAGTGCATGTCCCACCTGGATGTCCCTCCCCACCTCCATGCAATTGTACAGGCTATTTTTCTTAGATACGATGTACACTTCCTACCAGGTGCTGCTGCCTTTGCTCATACATATTCATTTTTAACTGTTGCATGGACAGTTGGTCACTGTTTAGATTCTTTTAACGGAAGAAAGAGACCTCCTGTTCTCAGCGAGGCTGAGGGGTATCTAACCGTAGCAATTAAACTCCACTGAAGAATTTATATACAATTTTTTTTGTCTTGAAACAGCTGTAAAGTCAAAAAATATCACATAATGACTGTGAAGTCAATAAATATCATGTTAATATTCTTTTCTCTCCAGACAAAGCAGAATCTATTTTGCAACACTCCATCTTACATTTTGTTAAAGGCAAATTAGAGGTTGAGCCGGAACACACTGAGGACGACAAATGCAAATGTTCTCGAGTCCACACAAATGAAGGAATGACCCATTTCAGATATAAAATCAAATTCTGCCTCCTTCTGACTAGCTTGCACCTAACTCCGTCCTCATCATGTTCAACCTGATCTTCTTCACTCTTAAACCAATGTATCTCCATCAAATTTAAAGGAACTGCTCCTGATTTATACTGATATCCACTATTGGAAACTGATAATTAAACATCCTGTTCAATAATTAGCTGTAAGAAAGCAAAATATGAGGAGATTCCTGCCTATCAGTTGATTGGTAATAGAATAAACTATATTAGGCTGAATTAACATTATATTTTTTCCTTTAATAGAACCAATTGAGTCATTCACTGAAAATGCATTATAGACATTGGCATTTTTTCAAAAAAGATTTGAGTATTTTTCCCATTACCCAGCCAGCTCTCTCCTCTGCCCTGTGACTTTGCCAAGTATTGAAAAACGTCTGTTTTTTTCCTACAAAAAAAAGCAACGAGAGACTAACACTGAGGTTCAAGGTGCTGCTTCAGATATACCTGATGAGCTACAAAATAAAACATTAGGAACTAAGTATTTATCTTGGTAGTCCTAATTCAGGAATAATAATAATAATCATCCTCAAAACACAAACAAAGGAAACCACTACTATATACAAGTATTCCCTATGCCAAAACGAGCCCAGACAGGATTTGCTGGAGGTTTACTGCGTGCTCTCAGGAAACTGGGTGGTCCTCAGATACTCAAAACACAACCCCCCACCCTCCACAGCCCAAGGCCGAGTACTGGGATCCCTCCTCGATAGCTGAATTCTGCTCATATTTACTCCAGACAGCAGGTACAGACAGTGAGGGCCGCAGAGAAAATACCATTATAAAATAGATTCCTCCCTTCTCCCCTCTGTTTTGCTAAGAGAAGCCCAAGGACAGGACCACAGGCTGGTGGCCGCAGAAGATGGTAAAACCCCACGTGCTTTCTGCCTTGCTCACATTGATTAGAACCCACCGATTCCGGGCACCCCAAGTTTTCGTGGGGGGAGCAGAGGATGCGGTGATGCTCAGATGGCAGAAGGGAACGCGAAACAGCCTCTGGGAACGGAGTTTCAATAGGCAGCTTTTGAAAAAAGGCCAGCAGAGAACCAGCTATTTTTCCATGCAGAAGCCTGAATGTGTTTATCTGCAGCTCAGACACGGAATGAATCATGGAAGCACATCCCCAGGCACCAAGAAGTGAATCCCAAAGGATTTTCTGTTTTGCCTGTGAAACGCTAGCAGACTAAATGCCCAAAGAGGGCTTTAGGACGGCAGCTGGAGTTACAAGCAGCAGACGGTTTGATTGCTGTTTCTGGGCACACATGGATGGATTTCCTGACTCTCAGAGTCTCCTGACTCTCTTCCTGCAGACACTGAATTTGAAACTTGAAGTGACTTAATGAAGAAACCTCTTTGCATAAGACAAGGACAGCAATGGACAGTCTTCGAGACAAACAAATGGGCTGGGATGTCCTCCATCACATGGGGACCACGAGTGGCCCCAGCTCCTATTTCCAGGCTCTTCCTTCCTCTCCCCCTACATGACAGTCTTGGCCAAGGGGTTCTCTGAGCCCCCCCCAGCGCTCAGGGTTCTCTAAGTGCCTGACCACGACAACCAGAATCAGGACCTCCTTCTCAGAAGACATTTCAAAAATGTCTACTTCTGGCAGAGCAGCACGGTGAGGGTTTGCTAGAAACATTCACCTCGGGAGCCAGTCACTACCTGGCTCTCATGCACCTCTCCTACCTTTCCATCATGGAAAAAATCCTTTTTCTCTCCCTCCGGTTTTATTTTAACTCTTCTCAACTTCCATTTCCCAATAAAGAAAGCAAACACTGACCTCTCAGGAAATCTTCCACTATTTTAAAAGTTTGCACTTGTCAGTTGCACCGGTAACGATATAAATCAACATCTCCAGAGGAGAAGGAACCAGACTATTTTAACTTTCATTTCCTAGAAAACCTCTAGAGATTCATCTTCTCTCCATATTGTTTCAACTTTGTCCTAAATTTGCAAGTTTCCACTTCTCTCCTTTTTTTTTTTTCCTCACAGCTTCCAGACTGAGTTCTACCTTGCAGCTAAAACCAGATACCATTGCACTAATGGCATACATACCATTAGTATAGTAATCCCAGCTTGCTTGGTGCATCTTTAAGTACCCATAGATCACACTGAGCAATAACTGACACTAGAAAAGATTTGAAATATCCACTGAAGAGGAAAAACAGCAAAAAAAAAAGCAATACTTTAAAATTAACTCTAACTAATTTGTGTAGGAATTATGAATGATACAATGATTCATTTTCTGAATTTTAATACAAATTTTAATTCTCCTCTAGGAACTACCTGTTCATGAAACTTTCTTCTAGGATAGTTTTCATTGAAGAAAATTGTACCCAGAACTGGAACTCAATGTTTATTCTGAGCAACTTTTAAATTTACAATTCCATTTCTGATGGAATAATCCCGTCATCTCCTTCAATTCCTGAACTAAAACTCAAGCAGCAGTTGATTCACCCCCTTGACAAAAACCACCTTTCAAGATCCTCCAAACCTCTTTCAAAAGGAACAGGTGGGATGGGGCACCGGAGGAAGGTCTTTTCATCATTTTCCTTCAACAGGTGTTGGTGCAAACAAACTCCCTACACTCAAAACTCACATTAAAAGCAAAACCCACTGCTTTGACAATCATCTTGCCAGATGATATTCAGAGCAGACATACAAATTTGTGTACAAATTCCAGAATTTTTTAAATGGCCTATTTAAATTCTTTGTAATTTCCCTGAGTATTTTCTTGGCTTCAGCTTTATGGGACGGTTTTACAACCTGCACGAGGAACACAAAGACCATTCACCAGTGTTTGCCAAAAGGGAAAAAGTGACAACACTTGCACTTCTATGATGATTTCTATAGAGATTTATCTTCTAGCACTGTGAATATGCTACATCAAGCCTTTCACCTTTACAGGTTTGGTGACACCTACCAGGGCAACATTTTTTTCAAGGAGGTCCAAAGTGACCTCGTTGACGGCAACAAGCGAGCAGTGCTATAGAGAGCTATGCTAAAGGATTACACCAGAAGAGGCTCCTACAACCACAGAGCATTTTAAATGACTGAATAAATTAGCACTTTGTGGTGTAAGAGCAACGCTGAGTTCCTAGAGTGCACTTTTCCCCCTGGCAATGTCCCAACCAGGGAAAGGAGCAAGAACATTTTCCAGCCCTTGGCACTGGGATGTCCTGCCCCACCAGCAGAATTAGAGTCCCGGTAACAACAAACTTTAATCAAGCTTTAAAAACAGCAGCAATGGATTTGCATAAAAAACATCTCGATGAAAATGGGAGGAAAATTCCCACAAATATGTCTGTGCCTAAGGTGAAAACACATTAGTTTCATTTAAGGTATCCTTTCAGTTCTAATTCTACGTAAGATACAAATAGATCTACTCAAAAGCTCTCCACACCACCACAAACACACTTCTCTCCTGCTGTCCCATCGACAACCAAACCACTGCAGACAGATGCAGGATTAAAGCTTAGAGTCACTTTAAGGCCACAAAGTTCTAAGAGACACTGCATCTGAGGACAGCATCTCCCTCAGCCCCAAACCTTACAGAAGAACATACTTGTGTGTCAAATTACCAGGAAAAAAAACGCATAGAAAAAAAAAATAAACACACTTTGTAAGTATGACAACATACAATGGAGGAAACATCAACTTCAGTTAATTTCGAGAACATCCTCACATGCTACTTCTAGCTTAGGATGCTGCAAATGGGCAGGGTTCATTGCGGAGAGCTGGTAGAGCTACCAGAGCAGCCCTCTGCCAGGGAGCAGAATAACACATTGATAACCTCCCCTTTTAATTTCAAAATGCCTTACTTATTTTTATAACACTGGGCTAGTTTTCGTTTCATGAATAACCTTCTGATTTTTAACTGGAAGCTGAATGGAACCCGTTCATCTGAAGAGTAAATCAAACCTCGTGCCCCCGGTTATGAAAAAACTGACACCTTCTGCCTACACTTCACATCCATCTACAGAGGCGAAACGTGGATGCAGGCAATGAACTATTCCGAGATATTTCCAGTTGCGATTACTCAGTTTCCCATTCTCATTTCTGATTTTCCAGCTCTGCAAAGCACAGCCCGTTCACGCAGATGTCTAACTTCACAGGTGTCGCAAGGTGCCAGCCAGTGTGGCACCCGCCTTCCCTCCCCAGACAGCGATATTTGTGGCAGCAGGCACAGCACAGAGACGAGGACAGGGCTGCCAGCTCACCCATGGGCACGCTCAGACTTCCCATTTTTGGGTCTGGCAATAACAAAGCTCAGACCTGCTTCACCCTGCACGTCGCTGCTGAGAACTCAATGAACTCTTCAGACAAGTTGATGTCCCACTCGCCCCACACCTTCTCCCTCATCTGCCTCAATGCAATCCCTGCAGGAAAGATGATGGCAAGTTTTTCTGCCATTTCTGCATCACCCAGGCTTTTCTGGACAGTGGCAAACCACTATGCCCAGGGACCATGTTCATCACATTCTCATCACCACAGCAGCAGAAAGAGCCGAGGTAATAGATGAAGTCCTACCTCCCACGTAAAGGCTGGGACAGTGATGTACCCACTGCCTCCTGCTCTTTCGTATGTGGGGAGGAGGAAGAAAGAATGTTAAAGCTAAAAATAACAAACCCCAAAATCGCTGAGGTTTTTTTTTTTCATAACTCCACAAGCCACTGTTTCAGGCACAATCTAAACATGGAAAATTTGAGGCCCAACACACTGACCCTTCAGAAGACACGTGCATTGCAAAACAGTCAGTTTCAGTCGAAAAAATCTATTCCGGCTATATCTAAGACCGGTTGCAATCAATGCAAATAAAATACCATCTATAAACATTTAGCAACTGAAATGACACAAAATGTTCTTTGTTCACAACTTGTTCCAGTTGTCCTCCTCCACCAGCTGTTTTTCTTTCCTATGCCATGGTTACCGAGTTCCCCCCGCCTCTTAAAATGAAGCAAAGAACATATTCATCTACCACTTAAAGCAAAGACGCCTTATCCGAGTTAATCTGTTGGCCAAATTCAAAGCTGTTTGGTGCTTTGCAGGTATCTTGTGACAATTTCATCCAGTTCAAACGCTCCTGGTGGAACCTATTTGGGTTTGCTTTCGTTGTAAGGCTATTTATTTGCTTTTCAATACTTGACGCTTAAGAAATCCTGTCCTCTTAACTCACCAAAATATAGCGGGCGAGACAAGGTACAGTTTTATTTCAGTATTTTAATTCAAAACAAACCCACTGAAAAACCCCGCCCCTGCAGCTCCCTCATTAAGGGTCTGATCCAAGTCCCATTAACGTCAAGAGATGATCTGCCCCTGACGCACTCGAGTGCTGGCTTGGATCCCTAGATCATCACAATCCAATTTCATCTCCCGGTTATGTTATAGAAACCGGCTCAAACATGAAGAGCGACTGAAAAAAAATCAAGCAAAAGTTGCCTGTAACTCCAGCTGTCACTCGCACCCTGCTATTTTAAACATCTGCAGCCTGCGCAGCCCGTGTAGGGCGCAGCAACACACACGTATGTGGACACTGAGTCACCCCCAGGAACAGACAGTATAACCCGCAGCTTTGAAACCCCATTAGGAAAATACTAGTGGGAACTAACAAGAGCCACATTTTGTTATAAAATCTCAGCTTCGCTGAACAAAACTTAATTTAAGGAACTGATGACATCAGAAATACTGCAGTCAGATAATTATAGTGAATTACACTGCAACCCAGGCATTCAGATACTCTTTATAAAGAAAAAAGTTGTGTTTCTTATATTGGCAAGTGAGGTTGTCAGGGGTACCAGGTCTTCTCCCAAGAACCATGAAGCACTCATTTCACACGAGTCGTGTGAGCACATTATGTCTACATTTCTTTAAACGGGTCATAGGGTGTCTAGAGATTGAATGCCATGGGATTCCATCCTCAACCAGCATCATTAACATGAGAGTTCAAAAATACTCAACAAAATTTTGTTGGTAGAGAAAACAAGCTATGGTTACTTGCCACCAAAACCCAAAGGATACATTGAATTAAAGGAAAATATTTTCATTCCCAAACAAAGCAAGTTAACAAGTGCTAGGTCTATTTTTGTGCAGATAAAGTAGAACAAAAATAATTTGAAAATAAACTTTTTTACACACTCTTGTCTCATCTTGGAAAGAAGGGCATGGAGCAAAAATCACCAAAGAGGAAGCCATACGATCCTGCAGAAACCCACTGCCTCGGCTAAGAAAAGGAGAGAAAAAGGGAGAGGGAAAGGAAATGCTCTTCCAGGAGTTCAGATCTCTCAGTTGGGCTGTGTTCTCCCGTCCCTCTGGCTGCTTTCCGATTTCCATCCACTTTGCCAGGAAACTGCTGAAACTCCAAAAAGCTGTTACGGAGACAGGACATTCCCAGACTGCCATTGTGCCATTTGGTGGAGCACTTGCTAATTTTAGAGCAGAGGAGGGACACGCTGGGACAATTAGCCAAGAGCCACTCCTGGCTCTTTGCTCCAACCCATCTTCAGACAAAACTCACACCCAAACAATGAGACCGACAACAACTCCCTCCCTTCAAACACAAACAAAAAACAGGCAAAGGAGGATCCACCGTGCCTTTTTTGGCAGAATACATCTTTTGGGGGACACGTGCGTTTCAACCCCAAAAGCGACCACTGGAAATAAATACCCTTTGCCCAACAGCACCTTCTGCAGAAGACCCACCTGCAAACGGTGATGGTTGCAAAGCCGGGGGGGGGAGGAGACCATTTAACAGCAGAGGATGGGGAAGGTGGCCAGAGAGAACTCTCCCAAACAGGATCTGACTGCATCCCACAAGAGACCAGCTGGTTGCAGGGATGATAATTGGCATGAACTGGTTCGATAGAGCCATCTCCAGGCTGAAGGGCAAGAGCTCTCCCACCGGACCCCCCTTCTCTGCACTGCCCAGCTGGGAACAGATCGACCCCCTTTCGAGATGGGGAAAGGAACCCGTAAATAAGCGTATATAAACATCATACCTTTAACAACACAACATCTACAGTCCTGTCCACCTTGGAGATGTCGCACAGGCTGTATCGCCTCTTGTGGCGTTCGTACATTTTGTCCAAAAAGCCGGGAGGGGAGAAGCAGAGCCCACCATGAACCCCGGGCTGACCAACGGCCGGGCGCGCTCCAGACCTCTCACATACGTGCTCAGAGGAGATCCCGTGTCCCAGCACACCCGCCTGCCCGAGCCTCTTCGCTGGAAAAACAAAATCCCAGAGCTGCCACCGGCTGAGAAAGTCTTCTCGGAACAGATTTGCTTACAAAGGCAACGCAGGAACTTAGAGCAAACAGAAGATATTTGAAGAGAGCTTTAAACATATAGGATTACTTTTTTTGCAACGGCTAAGAATGGTATCAGTCTTCCTGTTATAGTAATAATAATAATAATAATAATAATAATAATAAAAAACAAAACCACACCACGTTTTCCAGACAACTTTGATATCCAAAAAAGCACCAGAATAAAAATCCTGCCCGAAAAAAGAACAAAAGCCAGATGTGTGCAGCAGGAACCCTGACGCTCCAAGAAGGCAGGCAGAAGGTAGGCTCAGCCACGACGGGTCTAATTCAGGAGAAAAAGGAAAAGAAGAAAAAAAAAAAAAAAGCCGATCACCGTATCCAATGTAAATACTGTCAGAAACGTGTTATTTTCTTTCACGTCCTCGAGCACTGAAAGAAACAATAAAAAAAGGTACTTTTCTCCTTTGGAGTCAGTCCACTGTTCGCCAGACAGGAGGGCTCGGTTTTGCTTTAAGTTTAAATTTCTAATGACAGCAGAGGGCAAAAGGAAAGAAAATAATGAAATAAAGCCACTCCCTCCTGGTTTGGGCTGGGACGTCACTTGCCTTTTTAGTCCTGCACCAGTGTTCTCCCAGCTTTCAAAATTTCTTTGCAGTTGTGGGAGCATGATTCATCTCTTCAGAGAGATTGGGGAAAAAAAAAAAAAAAAAAAAAAAAAAAAAAAAAAAAAAAAAAAAAAAAAAAAAAAAAAGAGGAGGGAGGGAGGGAGGGGGGGAAGAAAAAAGCAGCAGCTTTTCTAAGCCAGCCTCTTCCACCTCCGGCTGCAGGCACTCGGCGTGGTTGCTCGGTCCAAAAAAGAGACTGGGAAGCGAAGGGCCGTGTTTTCGGAGAGGTAAAAAGACTCTTCCCCCTCTCCCCCAAGCCAGGTGAATGGAAGACAATTTCAGGCTTAACGCTTCCCCGAAACAGGAATGGAAACTTATGATTTAATCAGTTCACAAACACCCCAAAAAAAAAAAAAAAAAGGGAATAAAAAAAGGAAATCAGCCATTTACTTTTTTTTTTGGTTTCCAACACAGAGTAAAAGATTTCAGCAACTTGTTCTCCAGAAAATACAATTTTCCCTCTTTTATTCCAGTCTGAAAAGCGGACCCTTTTTTTTTTTAAAAAAAAAAAAAAACCCTCTGAGTTGGTGGGTTTTTTTCTTCTTCTTCTTTCTAATGCTGGGCCAGTGGGAGCGTCTCTCCCCTCTCAATAGCTCATTCACATCAGCTGGGCCCTGCCTGCGCTGCCACATGGTTTCCTGTTTTCAAACTGCCCCCTTGCAGCCCCCTCCGCTTTCCACCCCACCCTGACCTCTCCAGGGATGAAATCTTTCCATACTTCCCCGGCTTTAGACATTCTCTCATTCACCGATTCAAAAGGGAAGGGGGGCGGTGAAAAAAAAATAAAAGAAAAAGAAAAAAAAAAAAAAAAGAAGAAAAGGGGAAAGAGGGGGGTGTTTCTGTATTTGGGAGTTTGTAGCCAGCAGAATTTGCTGCTTTTCTGGGTAGACAAGCTGGAAATGGAGGAATTGTTAATCCCGTGTTGCAAAGCAGGAAACACAGACATCGGAAACAGCATTTATCAACCCAAGGCTTAATTGCAGATCTCCAAGAGCCATCCTCGGCAGCGTGGGCTGGACTGGCCCATCTCCTGCTGGGATTTGCTGCGCTCGTGGAGCACAGTGAAGGGTTCTGAACCCATCCATCGCGACCAGGCACTCCAGCTCCTCTCTTCCCAGTGCTACCCAGTCTTCTGCCCACCCAAACCCATTGCACATCAGCTTCTCTGTGAGTAACACAGGAACTGACCCTCCTCCGCGCCTGCTTGGTGAAACACCGAAGAACGGGAGTTTACAGCAACACAAAGTCCTATTTTGGGCTCTCCTGGTTATGACACCCCCAATCCCTGCAGCCAGATTATGCAAAAGCGTAATTACCCTCTAAATTTAGACTCAGAGAGAGAGCTCAGAAGGGTGTCTTTCCCTAAGACTACAGCACAGCTTGGTGGCACGGTGGCCAGTCACCGCTGGAAGGTCCACCTTTGGGCATCACATCACCTCATGCAGTGGAATGGACTGGGGAGTCACATGGACCAGCTCTTCCCAGTAAGTGACACAGGTATGCTCTTACCTACTCAACGCAAGGTATCTCCCCCCGCTTTCATTAGGCTCCAGTCTCTCCCTCACAACCCAAAGCTTCATCTCCACCACACCACCAGCTGAACTGAAGAGGATCTCCTCTATGAGGCTCTCTTACAGCTACAGTCCCCAGCTCGAGATCTCAGCCAATGACTCCTTAGAACGAGGGGAGCTTCTGCTTTCAGTATTAGGACACACACAAAATGTGGTAGTACTTTGGGGACTTTCTGGAGCCACCAGTTTTCTCCACAAGTAATGAATCCCAGCAATCATGTGCCTGTCGAGATGAGGAATCAGAAATGGCTGTGACAGCATTCCAGCCCCTCAAACACTACCATAAAAGGCAGGGATTTCCTCAAATCTAAATTTACAAGACAGGAACCTATAAACAGAGTGTGTGAATTTAGTTCAGGTAAAGGAATTTGCAGCAGTCGCTGTGCCTTAAGGATGCTCTAATGTTTCATTATGGAGCACTTGTGGTTTTTTTTTAACTGATACAGCAGTTAATTTTGTTTTCAACCCAATTTAATTACAGCTGCTGGTATATAAGGCTGAGACTTATCCAAGCAACAAATGCACAGCTCTGGGTGCTCCACTTAAAGCACTTCACCTTAGAGCTGCGGAGACCCTCCGGCATCCAGGAAGGATGTCCAGCTGCAGGGCTCAAGCAATGTCCACCTCGCAGAAGAGACCACCACGTGAGCATCACTACTAACTGCGGCAGAGCATCTTCCACGGAGATTGCAAAGGAGGTCTGACTTGTTGCTGCATCAACACCCGGATTTTTGTGGCTCACATTATCTCCCGCTTCCTACACATAAAGATAAATGAGAAACATCTCTAACCAAAGGAGGTGGGAGACAGACTGGGAGACGCACAACCATCACAGCAGGAAGTTAAAAAGAGGAGACCAGTTTTTCTGAGCTGAGCACAAGCATCTTGGCATGGCCAAAAGCCACATGTAGCCCAACATGTGCCTTCGTGGGGCAGGAGGGAACAAAGTTCTGGTGGAAGGCACAGGCAGGGTGACTCTGGGCACAGGACGTGTCCCAGGACTCAGTACACGTCCATGCCCTACCTGTGAATCAAGATGATGACCTGCCTTCCTCCATAATTATGTATCTTGATCTAGTAAAGGTCGCCAGCTGATCCCTTTGAACACCTCTACACCTTCAGCCGCAGAGGGAAATAACACAAACAAACAAATAAACCCACAAAATATATCCCCCCACACTTCTCCCTTCTCTTTTTCTTTTCAGATTTAAGCTTCCAAATCCCTAATTTGTTCCAAGAGTTTTCCTGTGGTTATGTTCCTGACTCACAGCCAAGATCAGGAGGCCAATGACGACTACAGACACCCAAAGTCCATCTCATCTTCATTTCCAGACTTTACTGCTGAAGGGGGGCGGGGAGGGGGAAGAAATGTAATATAAACAAATAGAAGATAATGTGCCAGACAAACTCCCCCCTCCCTTGGGAGACCATCGCTCTCTTCCCACGTTAGGTGGGGCTTTTGCTGCGTTGTTTGAGGCCAGAACTCTTGTCTTGCTCCCAGCCTTACATCCACAGGGGCAGCCGAGCAGATGCTGAGACAGACTCAGCCCGGACGAAGCAGAACAAAGATTTCCAGCCTCCTTTCTCCATCTATTTAAGGCAGTCCCTCGAATGCCGGACGCGTGTTTATATAGTATATAGCATTTATCCTCAGCAACACAACGCACCAGACAAGGAGAGGATAAAGATTACATTAAAAAAAACCCACAAAAAAACCAAACCTAACTCCAAGGAGTAAATAATTCTCGTTTTTTTGGGCGAGTTGCTCAAAATGGAGCAGAGAGGCGAGCGGCAGCCCCAGCCACCAGCTGCTGATGCGACAGTTCTGGGCTCCTTATTGAAAACATCTGGAAGCGCTGAGCCGCTTTGTGCAGACAGGAGTTTGAAACTATCCAATCGTTTCATATCCAAACCAAAGTCCAGCGCTGCGGATTTCAAGGGAAGGAAAAGGGAAGGGGGGGTGGGGGTAAGGCGCTCGATCGCACCATATGATCTGTAACTCATCCAGATAAAACTCCTCCTCCTCTACCCGCTAACAGACCTCTTAATGACAAGGAAATCATGGTTATTCTGAAACAGACTGCACTATTGTTATCTGTTTCAAATTACTTTTGCCATATCGTTATGAAACACTGAAAATGATGCAATCTGCAGAAATACTCAGGCGCATTAACTTTTTTAACTGTGGCTCTGATACGAACTCATGGAGCAGTAGATGAAAGGAAAAAAGTTCTCCCTGTTTTAAGCAAGTTAAAACCCACTTTTGGGCACTAAACACAGGAGATAATAAATTCGTCAGACAGTAAGAGAAAAGAATTACAATTTCAATTGCTCTTTTCTTAAAAGAAATCAGCTTTTTGGAAAGGGTTTTAAAATTTTTTTGTTTCTGGCACTTGCAGGGATAGACAAAACAAACCCCTTTTTTTCTAAAACTAAATAAGGCAAAGGAAATCTGCACTCTAATACTCCAAAAAGCCTGTAAGAGGAGCGCGTCCAATCTGGAAGGGATCGCACAGCCATGGTGTCTGCCGGGAGGCAGGTCAGCCCCCGCGCCAGAGGAGACCGAGACGGATGCTCCAACGTGGATTTTGAAGAAGACCAGGCCACTGCTGAGCGCTCACTCACGCTGCAGACCTTGGTCATGAGCCCTGGATGTCAGGTAACACATCTCTCATTTTTGCAGGAGCATTGCAAGACTGAGAGGAGTTTTGTCACCGACCTGCTCCCACCCTGCCTGTCCATCCATCTGCATCCCTGTGGACTTTGGTCCAGGACCACATCTCTCTGATCATGGCGCGACCCGCCAGCATCCCACCAATCTTCCTTCATAGGGTGGCCCCAAAAGGCTGATCGTGATTTTGGATGCCTCTAGGAGGTAGGGCATCGAAAGAAGAGGAGTCACAGAGAGGGATGTGGACAGTCCCCTGGGATCAGGCATCACAGCTGTAGCAGTGCTGCTGTAAGGGGGAAGGTCAGTGATGCAGGCAACAAACCTTCACAATCCTGGTCCTAAACCACCTCGAGATTCACCAGCTT